GTTCCAAAGGGTCGGAGCTACTACCGAGAAGGCTCTCCTCCGCGTAGTTGCCAGTCGACACTTATCTGTTTATTTTTCATTCATTTCATGTCATTCATCCAGGCTTCCCAAATTGTTCTATTTCATTCTTTTCTTTCTTTTTTTTTCCAGCCTACAAGTTTGGCCCACATTCCGATGATCGCTTATTCCGCAGCATTTCAAATATTTTCCCCTAGAAGACGTCAGACATTTAAGGCTTCCTGGTTGTCTCCCTCTGTTGATCAGGTTCGGGGAGCTGTGCCCTTCCTCTGCTGGGGCCACCCACGACATGCCCTTCAATTTGGGCCCGGCTTTACCCAGGATGGCTGGGGCTTCCCAAGCAGATGGAGGCTTTGAAGGGATCCTCCAGATCCTAGACGGGATCCCAGCAGAGAGGCTGATTCAATACAGGCACAAGCTGAGCTGCTTGCACCAAGACCGGAAGAGCTGCCATCTCCTGCACATCATGATCCTGTGGTCCTTGGGGCGAGACGATGAAGCCAGGGTGCATCTCGACAGCTTGAGGGATGACGAGGTGGCCCTCCACCTCTCCCAAAGCCTCTGGGGCACGGGGGGAGCAACGAGGAAAACCCCAGAGCAACTCCAGAAGGACCTTGCCAAGGTGGCCCAATCCGTGGCAGAGATCTACTCACTCTTGGTTGATGAGAAGCTCTGTGACCCGCTGGCCCGAGACGAAGCCTACAGAGAAGCTATCCGAGCCTTTAAAGCAAGCCACCTTGTAGGAGCCCAACTCAAAGGTCTTCTGGATGAAGCTGTGGAGAAGTGTGGACTGCAGTTCATCTCAACGGTGCCCAAGAAAAATGTCGAAGCTCTAGCCTCAGGTCGATGGGAGTTAACTCCAGCCAGAAGGAGCAGTCTGGGGCCAATCGTCAGCTCTTCTCCTCCCGATAACCCTCAGTCTTTACGTTCTACAGGTAGCCCCGTCTCCTACATCAGCGACCTTAAGATCAGCGAGAGTTCAATAACCTCCAACAGCCCTCCCAGCACAGGAGGCTCCTTGCCTCTACCAACAACCGGCCAAGGAGAAAACATCAGATCTCTATCGTTGGCCAACAGCTGCTCTGCCAATTCAAGAAAACCTTCTCTACCAAATTCCAGAGGTCCCGGTTTACTGCCTCACTCCAAAATCACACAGTCCCCCGCGGCATCTGCCCAGAGTCCGCCAACCCCAAACCCAGCATCATCAGGAGATCTGACGCGGACTTTTCAGTCCCCGTCTCTGCAGAAGCCGGGTTCAGCACTTTCTGCAGGAAGTGGTCTGCCCCGTTCCTCTGCTCCAGCACCAATCACGAGTTTTGGACCTCTGCTGTCTTCTTCTTCTTCTACTTCAGATCTCGCCTCTTGTAGCTCAGAACCTTCTTCTTCGATGGTCCCACCCGACGATGAAAGGCAGTTCTACACCTTCGTGGTCCTGCATGCCGCAGAAGACGAGCTGGTGGCTTGCCGGGTGAAGGAACGCTTGGAGGCCTTGGGGGTCTCCAACGGGGCCACCTTCAGTGAAGATTTCCTCGTCCCTGGGCGTGGCCAGCTCAACTGTTTCCAGAACGCCCTGGACCACTCGGCCTTCACGCTCGTGCTCCTGACTAGGAACTTCACGGGCCGCCTGTGTGAATATCAACGCGACACAGCCTTGATGGACTCCCTCACCCGCTGTTGCAAGAGGAACTCGGTCATTCCGTTTGTGCCTAAGGAGAACTCAGTAAATCCCGTGCAAATGCCCTTCCTGCTCGCTTCTCTGGTGCCCTTGTGTGAAAAGTCTCCCGTGTTTGAGAAGAGGGTAAAGAAGACCTTCACTCCAAAGGTGATCCGGGAGAAGAAGGCCGCCTGGGACCTCCTGAGACAGATCCAGGAAAGAGAGGAAGCGCGAGAACGGGAACGAGAAAACTTGTGGCTACAGCAACATCTCGCTGTCCTCAACCTTCAGTCATCCGTTCAACCACCGGTGGTGGAGATGTCAAGAATGCAAGCCCAAGGAGGCAATGATGCTCAAGTCTTTCCTCCTCCTGCAACGTCCTTTGTGAAAGTGGGGCTGGACCAGGCTTCCTTCTCCCATTCGTTCCTGTCCTCGATGGGTTCTCCCAACACAATGCCAGGCCCCCAGCTCATCATCCAGAATGCCCAGATGATTCAGATCGGTGACTATAACAAAATGCAGGTGGAAAGAAGCAACCCAATGGTTGGCACGGCCAATGAGACCATCGAGAGGGCACCGGTGGCGGAAAAGGAGGACAACTCCAGAGAATGGAAATGAGATGGATGAAAAAAGAATGGAGAAAAATGTCTTAAAATTTCCTAATGAGAAGCATCAGTGATCTTGTCGAGGGAAGGTGTTCTGACTGAGGCTTCCCGAGAGCCTGAAGCAGACTCCTTGTCCCGAGAAAAACCCCTTTTGTTAATTTCATGTGAATTCTGCTCCTTCACATCCAGCAAAGTCTTTCAAGGGAGGATTTACAGTCACAGACCTTATCTGGCTTGGAGAGCTGCCAGGCCGATAGCTGCACAACTCGGCAAGAGGTTTCCAAACCAATTAAGCGAACTAATTGTTTCTCCTGCAAACTCCACTCCCCTTTCGCCCGTCTTTTATTCCCTCTGGGTGGGGCCATTCACTGTCCACCTGTGGCCTTACTCCCACA